GGACCTTTTGGACCTCTCAAGGTCCAGACATCATCATTACCCAAAGGAACCTCATATCTTCACAATCTAACTCAAAATGTGCAAAGGAAAACCCTAGATTCAAGAATCTATCAAATACCGCAAATGGGAAGGAACTTGTACCTCAACAACGTGAATCTCAGTGTGAACAACACGGATCCAAAGCTCCATACTCATCTAGCTTGGATTTTTCCCACTCCTTCTTGCAAGATCACCAAAGGATTGAGAATTAGCCTCCAACTTGCTCTCTAAGCTCTCTTGCTCTCTAGGGTTTTCACAGGGGAGTAGTGGCCGCAAATGACGGCCATAAGGGCCTTTAAATAGGGCTCAGGCCCTGAGATTTAGGGTTTCACTTTACAGCGCGGACTCGCCGAGTCCACTCATCGACTCGTCGAGTCCGGTCATTAATCCAGACAAGAACTCGCGATCCTACTCGGCGAGTCGCTGAGCGTCTACTCGCCGAGTTCCCTCCATAAAAATCAAGATAAATAATTAAAATAAGATACCTGGGAATCGGATGTTACAATTCTCCCCCACTAGAATCAGACTTCGCCCCGAAGTCTCATTCTACAAAACAGCTCTGGGTGTAGCTTCCGCATCTCCGCCTCCGGCTCCAAGTCAGCTCGGACCCTCTCCGATGTTGCCACTGGACCTGAACCAGGGACACCTCCTTGTTCCTCAGAACCTTGATCTTCCGATCCCGGATCGCGATGGCCTCTCAGCATAATTCAGGCTTGCATCCACCTGAATATCCTCCAGCGGACCACCGCCGACTCGTCGGCTATACACTTCCTCAACCGAGACACGTGGAAGGTATCATGAATCTGGCTCAACTCCGCAGGTAGCTCCAACCGATACGCTACCCTGCCCACCCTCGCGGTCACCCTGAACGCCCAATGTACCGGGGCCCCAGCTTGCCCCTCTTCCTGAATCGAATCACTCCTTTCCAAGGAGACACCTTCAGGAGTACGAAGTCTCCCACCTGGAACTCCAGCTCGGATCTCGCCTATCCGCATAACTCTTCTGCGGCTCTGAGCTGTCAACAACCTCTGTCTAACCTGCTGTATCTGCTCGGTCGTCTGAAGCACTATCTAGTGCGCCCATCACGCGCTGTCCTACCTCTCCCCAGCAAATGGGAGTCCGACACCTCCTCCCATACAACAACTCGAAGGGAGGCATACCAATACTCGAATGGTGGCTGTTGTTATAGGAAAAACTCAGCCAATGGTAGGTATGTGTCCCAACTTCCTCCGAAGTCCAACACACATGCTCGAAGCATGTCCTCGAGCGTCTGAATCGTCCGCTCCCTCTGTCCGTCCGTCTTGGGGGTGGCGGGTACTGAAATGCAGCCTCGTGCCAACTCCTCGTGGAACTTCTTCCAGAACCTGGAAGTGAAACGTACATCCGATCTGACACAATCGAGATAGGCACTCCATGCCGCGATACAACCTCCCTCACATACACTCTGCCAGCCTCTCAGCAGAAGAGCTCTCACTGATAGCAAGAAATGCGCGCTCTTCGTCAGCCGGTCGACGATCACCCAAATTGCATCGACACCCCTCGCGGTCCTCGGCAATTTGGTGATGAAATCCATAGAAATCTGTTCCCACTTCCATTGGGGAACCTCAAGTGGCTGCAACTTGCCATGCGGACGCTGGTGCTCGGCCTTAACCTGCGACAGGTCAAGCACCTCTCACAAACCATGCTACATCCCTCTTCATACAGGGCCACCAATAATCTTTCTTCAGATCCAAATACATCTTAGTGGCCCCGGGATGGATCGAGAATCTCGATCTATGCGCCTCCTCCATCAAGGTGGTGCGTGTCCCGCCTGCATATGGCACCCAAATCCGACCCTGAAAGGTCATAAGCCCTCGGCTATCGGTAACGAACTCAGATACCTGCCCAATCACCCGTTCTATCTTGCGGTTCTCCGGTCTCACAGCCTCTGCCTGGGCCTCCCGAATGGTGTCCAACACCGGAGTCATCACCGTCAACCGCATACAAATGTCTCGAATCGGGGCACTCTCCGCCCTACGGCTCAGGGCATCAGCTACACATTAGCTTTGCCCGGGTGGTACAGGATCTCACAATCGTAATCCTTTACCACATCCAACCATCTCCTCTGGCGCATATTCAGGTTGGGCTGATCCATCAAATACTTCAAGCTCTTGTGGTCCGTGTATATGGTACACCGAACCCCATACAGATAGTGACGCCAGATCTTGAGGGCGAACACTACCGCCCCCAACTCTAGATCATGGGTGGGATACCTCGTTCATGAGGCTTCAGCTGCCTCGATGCGTATGCTATCACATGCCCCTCTGCATAAGTACTAACCCACCCCGATATCGATGCGTCACAATACACCCCAAAAAATCCTCCATCCCCTCC